TCACTCTATGATTATATATTTTACTTTAGCACTTTTATAACAGTAAAGCTATGACCACAATGAGGATGGAGTCATCTTCCACAAGTTTAATCACTGGGTGGTTCAATGGACAGGAAAGAATACAACTAGGACAGGAATTTCTCTACAAATACCAACTACTTGCAAAGCATTGCTGATGGACAAAGGACTACGGCCACGCAAGACAGCCTAGGGAGGACAGACCTAGGCAGGAGGCAGAAATGACCAGATGATGGCTAGCAATGATAGCCAATGTTATATTAAGAATGAACTTGAAACACTGACTTCACGCTGCATTCCCAGGTCCCAGTAAGGTGCCTTGACAGCGATTCTCCCAGCTTTATTGATACCAGAAAGGCTGCCAGGAAGGTTTTCATGGTCCAAATGTCAGGGAAATGGCACAGAATATGATCACACACATTACAGACAGACTACAACAGCTGCCCTTATGAGGAGCCAACTGATATCCTATGGTTTGAAATGAAGACAGCCACGGCCAACTGCTTCAGAGCCGCAATCTCAAGCCACACAGAAAGAATGTGGAAACTTCACCAGTATGCACCAGTGTGCTTCAGGGTTAGCATGAAGGTAACTGTTTGGCTGACTTAGTTGTACAGCTCCAAACTTTAAAAAGGCATTTGCACCTAGCACAAAAGGAGACAACCTTCTTGACCAAATGCAAAGACTCAAAAATTGGTCCTCAAACATACACCATCTATGCAAAGAATTCTTGCAGTCCAACTACTCAGCTATTAAAAGCCATGGGATCTCCCTTCTCTTCCATTTTATAGACTACATGAACCACAGACATTCCATGTCATACAATTTTATTAACCCAGAATGCCAGCAAATGAATGCAAACCCACCTCTCTCTTCTTTTTGATTCAACAACAAAAAATAGCTCAGATTTGGGAAGACCTGTCAGCATCACTAGACTGATCCCTTGTCTGATCTCAAGGTACTAAGGATTCAGCTCTCCATGTGCTAATTCCAATCATGCTCTGGAGTACCATCTTGGACAGCTCTGCCCGTCCAAAACAAAACAGTACAATGAAAGAAACAATCATGAACCATGGCGAAATGGCGGGGGGTGTGTGTGTGTGTGTGTGTAAGAGCATCTCCATTGCCACCATGTGGCCAGTGAGCTCCTCCTGTAAGCCCATCAGGATGGTAATCCTGAATATGGATTGCAAGCCTGAAATACACTCTCTCCCCACCTTGTTTCTTTCAGAGTAGTCAATGTGACAGCATCCTTCTGTTATTAGGTAAATGGGAAGATCTACCCAGTACATAGTTAACTACCTGCCCACTCAGCAGCTTCAGTACTGAAAAATATTACAGGAATATATATTACATAAATAAAAATATAATGGATACTTGGGTTTGTCATCATTCCACAACATGTCTGTTAATATTATAACTATAGTAAACCATAGATTGCATTCTGATTTTTTTTCTGGTTTTCTTTCCCAAGGGATGATAAGAAGTAATCTCCCTGTTGTTACAAATGTTTTATTTTGAAAATAAAGCTTTTATGCATATTTTAGTTGATCTAAATACAGTAGATCTTGGGTTTTTAAATCACCAGATAATATGCAATTATCTCAAGCTAGATTCTGATTTTGAAACAAGCTCTAATTAGCTCCCCATTTTATGCTGCTATAATCCTTTCTTCAACTCCCATGAGTGTTACTATTGCTAAGCAGCATGAGGTTAGGAATGATGGATGATACCCAGAAAGGAAGACAAACAAAAGGGAAATTCAAAATCCCCTGAGATCACCCGCAGCTGTATCGGCAAATGAAGATTTCCACATTAGGTCATAAGACGACCCTTACAGAAACACATACCAAAAAGGCACGTCTTTTTCCCACTGAGTATTTGCAAGTCTTTAATGTAGTATATAGAGAGTATATGTCCTTCACAGAGGATAAATACGAAAGTGAATAAAAATTCAGCTTTCCTGGGAGTAGCTATGAAATCAACAGCACCAAAAGAGAAACTTTGTCTTAATGTCATATAGATGCTCAGTAAAGACATAAGACCCCAAAATAAAACAAACTAATAAGAGCTATATACAGTACAAGTATTTAGAAAAATATCCAAGCACATAAACCTTCTTCTGGCACATGGCTACTGTCTAAACCCAACCCAGCTCTGATCATCAGTAATGCAACTAAATAAGGGCCAAATTCATCATGAAAAAATGCTGATGCAGTTGGGTGACACTAATTCAACTTTTTTTTCCATGTGATTTGGTCCGTGCTTTTGACACATAAATCATTAAAAAGGCAGATTTACCCAAGGGCATTAGAGCATTTAGGTGGAAAGAAATACACAGAAAAAAATGTTAGAAAAGGCACAGTGATACTATTTTTGACCACCTAGGGTACAGACACCATTTTTGTGTAAAATACATTCACTGAAACTTGCACAAACTCATGAAAGCCTTGATGAAAGGTCACAGGCAGAAAATACAGATATATATCTGGTTGTAATTTTGGTACAGACTGTGTTTTTTTCAAAATTAATAAATACAGCTTTCAAAGAAGAAAAACAAGTCTGGCTTCCCTTTGCTTTCTCAAAATATATATACATGATGCTTATCCATTCATTCCCACATATAAAAGACTGATGGGTTCATCTGTCCACGTGTGACAATGGAAAATTACCGGACAAAAGAACAGATTTTCATGAATGAGGTGTTAATCAAAACCTTATGATCTAGAAGTGTAACTAACTGGGTCAGAAATCCAGAAAATCTTGCTGGTTTGATAGAATACTGCCAAACGGTAATGAAAATACTCACAGCTAATAAAAGTTTGAGACGTTACTATGCATGTTGACACTCTGTACACTGAAGACCTTCTTGGCAAAGCACTCAGGAGCCACTGAATGTATTAGTTTAATTTTGCTTCTTTCCCTTCATGCATTCAACAAGTTCCAAGCCAATTATATTACATGGAAAAGGCTCCAGACCTTTTCTCGTTTCAAAATTATTCTGATTAATTTCTGTTTTAAAATTACAAGTGTGCAACCTTTTCTGCCTTGATTTTCCTGGGAAATGTCTCGGAAGACCAGAAAATTGGAGCTGTCTCTTTTTTTCCTGCCCTGGAGTGAAGGATCTTTCACAAATGCATAATTATTATTACCTTTTCCAAACTGTTTGCTGCGTTTTTAATTACAGAACAGCTGCTAATAAAAGAAAATTACTAAACTGCCCTTCCTCATTCAAGTAACTTCGTTTCTCTCTTTTGTTCTGCGTGGCGTCACAACCTTCCTTATTCCTTTATACGGAGAAAGGCACCAAGAAAAGAACGTTTTGTACAACAATTTTATTTTTAATCATTGGAAAGGAGGAAGAAAAGGGCACAAGCCCATTTTCTCATTTGTAAGTCTGCTTTAAGGAAAGAAGGAGGGTGATCATCAATAATATGATTTTATTAGCTGATAGGAACGTGTTGCCTCACAAAATATTAGCTCAAGGGCAGGAACTGACAAACGAGATTGGGAGTGTGGGAGGGGAGCAAAATATCACTGCAGCAAAACTGAACTTCCTGAAGGAAATCACTTTCAGCTACCAGCGATCCTCACGGGAATCCGTAAGGTGGTCGGATTTTAATACTACGGGCTTGTCTTTCAATCTTTTATAATTACAGTTAGTCATAAATATGATGATTAGCAATAACAATGCAGCCTTTTCCCAGCTCCTCTGATTTCAAATTCCTCTTAAAATGGCTACAATTAATTACTCATATTTTCCATGCTGTCTTAGGCGTTTATAACTGTAACAGTTACTCTTGCATAGTACTGATGCTACAAAAAAGTACTCAATGGCACACTTTTAACGAACAGCAGTGTATAAAACGTCGCAGGAAATTTCCATGTTCGCTAAATGCTTGGCTATAAGTAACAATAGCCCTATGATTGCAAATAATTTTTTCCCATTTTGGTTTTGTTTTCATGGTTTGTTTTTACCAGGGGCTTTTTTTTTTTTGCTTTTATCTATTTATTTTCCACTGTTGCTCTTAAGAAAAACGTGGACTGAATATCATCACGGATTCTCTTCTAGTAAAATCTTTTAGAATGCAAACTAGTTTCCCAGTAGAGAGAAAAAGCAGTTTGGTTGGGGTATTCAGAATAAACCCAGCAAGCTCCAGAAAAAAAAGTGTTTCAGAGTGCAGAAAGGTGGAAGAAGATCACAACCCATCCTTCTCTGTATCCTGAAATGCAGTAATTCTCCAATACAGGGCACCAGCTAGCAGGGCACAAGTATTTTTCTAGAGTACAAACCAGCCCGAGTGGTTTACGTCAGTTAAACATATCATTGGTAAAAAGTCTGTGTGGGTAGAGTCTGGTATCTAACAGCAGGAACACAGCTGTTCTGTTCCAGCCTCCTTCCTATACTGTGGCCATCTTATAAAACCTTTAGCAAGTCACTTCTCTTTGACAGTCATCTTTGCTGCATCTGCTTTTTTGCAAACAGAAAGGGGAGAGAGAAAAAAAGTCAGCTTGGAATATTTAACAAAGCTTGAAAAAGAAAGACATAATGTGGTCTTTTCCCCACCTTCAAATTAACAAAGCAGATTTTGTGCAAATGAAAGTGGCAAAAAAATATGCCAGTGAGTAAGGCAGCTGGAGTATGTAGATCACATTACAAACGAAAGGCTTGTTTTACAGCCATTGTCACATGTCAAGTTGATAAGCTGAACTATGGTAAAAAAAAACAACCCTACAGAGCCAATGATCTCCAAGATCAGACAGAGTCTCTTTACCTAATATATGCAGCTAAATATGTGTACTCCCTACATCTGCCATAGCAACAAGGAGAGAACGAGGAATTAACTGCATTAATAAAAAAATTGAAGGGACTCCTGTATGATACAACAAAACGCGAGAAACCTCTCGGCATCAAAGCAAAAGAAATGTAACAAAAGCACAGAGAATTATTTCAGAGCAAATCATTGAAACCAGCTGATTACCTGAGCTTGCACATCCCTGCTGTAGGGAATCCTGTAATGATGTCACAGAGTGAAGGACTAGATAAGAGAGGAGAGGAAAATCAGGGAACAATAAAAGGAGATGCCAAACCACAAACTAAACAGTAAGCAGGCTCAACAAATAGCAAACTGCTGATCTCGGCAAGGGCACGCTGCTCATTTAAGTCAGTGGCATTATAAGGGTACAACCGAGGCCAAACTCTAGTCTGGCCTTTCTGTATCAATAGGTATTAGGATAAGAGAGAGCCACAATAAAAGCGTAATTGCAACACAGCATTCCCCCTTTAAAGCTTAGTTCTTCTAGCTCACCTCCTGAGAAAGCAATCGATATTCTCCTAGGAACAATAAAAATCCCCTATGCAACCCTAGAAAACAGCACACAAGATTTTCCAGCTCTTTGGCCAACATTTTTTGAATTACGTATCATATTCATGCCTAGATAATATCATCCTAATTAGGAACTTGATAACTGCTGCTTATCAATTACGCATAAACGAGTGCTTCGTTCGTAAACATTCCCAGCACATCCGCCTAGGGACCGGCTGGGCTGTGAGGGTGGATGCTGCCACTTCCAGTAATGCCTGGACTAGCACCGGGTGCAAGTCTCACTTATTGCAAATTTAAAAAAAAAAAAAAAAAAAAAGAGTTTTCCTCCTCCTCAACTCAAACAACATAGTGGAATTTTAATTACCTTGTCCTTGTTGCTGCCCTTGTGCAGGCAGGACACACTGTCCCAGCTCACCATTCAACCAGAGCTGCATACGAATAAATGGTTCTCGGCCTTTTTGGGTCAATTTACTCCATGGCTTTGGCCTGGAGAGCATGTCACTGACACTTCCTTGGGACAGCCCCAATACCTGAAGTGAAGCAACCAAGAACGGCACGTTAACACATTTGATGTGGAAGGGGGGTAATTTAAGTCACTTCGGTTTCCTTTACTGCTGTACCGCTCAAGTCGGTTTTATATGGACAATTAGTAAAACTGAAAAATGACATCTGTAGGTAATTAATTAATGGAAACGCTTTTCTCCTGCCGTGGTTTCCTTCTGGAGCATAAGTTTTTTCCTGCAGGAACAGAGCGGCAGCACAAACGGCAGAAGGATGGTGCGAGATTTGCATGCTTTTCATATTTTGTGTCAAATAGTTTCATCAGTTCTAACAGGAAAAACACAGAGTCCAGGCACACACAGGCAGTTAAAACAGGAAATGATTGGCATGTATTTTGTTCTCAAACAAAAATAATTGGGACTTTTGAGACTAGGCCTATATTTGGTTGATTTTTTTTTTTTATATGAATTATAACGATGTGTGTTTTTACCTGTAGCAGTGGCTGCTCCACGTAAGTAAATATTTAAGAATACAGCCGACTGCAGCGAAGGGGGAATTTCAGATGGGCAGAATGCAATTACTTGCCTGGAATTCAGCACAGGTACAGGGGTTAAAAATCCAACTTAATGAAAGCTGCCACGGGATCTTTAATGACCCCAAGAGGTCAGGCTTTTCATTTTACATCTTAGTGAAAAGGTAATAGTGCGATGCCAGCTCCTATTATACTATTATATTGATTCAGTTCTTTATAGGAAGAAGGAACACCCCATGTCCACCATTTCTTATAGCTTGGGAGGTGTTTTCTGGTGGTTGGGGACCCCTCCAAAATCCCATGTGTTCCATGCTTAGGGCCCACAACGTGGGAACTTCAGAAAGCCTTATCGTGCATCGCATATCTGTAATCAAACATTACTTAAAAACATCTCAAAGCACACTAAGATACCAAGCACTAGGTGTAAGAAATGACTGTGAATTCTTGACTTCAGACTAAGGAGAGGTAGGGGATTTTCTGTGTGTTTGTTTAAATACCCTTGTGCACATTTTCAAATATTAAAAAAAAGGAAAAATGCTCTTGTGTTCATAATCTTCACTTATAACAAATTTAAGACTCTCCAGTCATGACAATGGTATTACTCAAATATTCCATGAATTCATTACATTAAGCATGAAATATTGAGTCTCAATAACGTTTGCTTCAGCTTTCAACGTTTCTAAACTGGGGGGCCCCATTTCTAATTACGAGTGGCTGAAGCCAATCTTTGTATAAAAACCTATGCAATTCACAAAATACAGGAAAACGAATACTTTCCTGTGTGAGCTTATTTTTTAAATATTTAACATCTGAAGAAAGAACATTTTTCCGTAAGACATACGTGGCATTACCCCTCCGTTAAACTGAGCTCCGTACCAACGTAAGGAGCAGAACGCGCATTCACAATACTGGCGTAACAAGAGATAACCAGTTCTTTACCTTTTCCCCAAAGATCCTTTGGCAGATGCCATTCTTTGCTAGCTTTTCTTTGACCTGCCGCGTTAGCTCTATCGTATCCACTTCCTGGTACATATAAATCTCATACTGCTCGGGTGTCAGTGGAGGAACTGAAGGTTTGGATGGCTTTGACAAAGACACGATAGGGGATGAAGGGAGGGGGCTATTTTGTGGTGTCTCACTGCGACTCGCCCCAGTCATGCTCAATTCAGAACTCTGGGAGTACGGAGATTCAGCGTTTGGCCACTCTTTCCAATACTCTGAAGATGATGGTCCTTGGAGCTGGCTACGATCTGGCCTAGTCTGATTGCTGACCTTTTCTTTTCCACCACTGGCTTCCTCAACTTTTATATCTTCGGGAAGAGCTGCATTTCTTCTCTCGTGCTGCACAGTATTCCACCAATGGTCCTTCCAAGCACCACCACGTCCCAACTCATTTTTAACATGCCTCAACATACCCTGGGCAGAATCACTTATTCCATGAAGCTCTAAAACAGGTGCCTCCTGAGGCTCCTTTTTGAGCCCAGAGAGGTTCTGCAATGCAGAGATACTGGAATCAGTGACAGATGAATGTTTCTTCAGGGATATGGCCAAAGGAGAATAGCTGGAAACCGAAGACATTGCAGGTGTAGATACTAGTTTGGGGGACAGGATAGAAATGTCAGCTTGAGATAAAGGTGGTGTTTTTAAGGCAGGTTCAAGGGCAGCCTGCTGTGCCTCCATTTCGCGTCGGGCTTGTTGCAGAATGGATCGAATAGCATCATCAGAATTGCCACTGCTAGATGCAGAAGGCGGCTGAGCCGGCTCAGCTATGAAAAACAACCAAAAGACTAAATGCAACACAGGAATATGCTTTATATTCAACACGTGCTACTGTAAATACTTCCCTGTCAGAAAAAGGGCTGCAATACATTTCTGGATGGGAGGGAGGAATTTCCACTAAGCAAAGATTTGCACTTTTCAAAATAAGGTAAGATTTCCAAAGTTCTTCACTGGAAAATTTTTATACTTGCCAAAGTGCTGGACATTTGCACACACAGACTCAACTGCAGAAGTCTAGTACTACTTGCATGTTCTCCACCATTGTAAAAATTTTCAAATAAATGCCTTTGAAAATCAAGCCTTCACCTCTTCCTCCCCCACCCCAAGTGGTCAATAACATTTTATAGTTCTATTTACAAAGTTATTCAACCTTTCACTTCTATCTCCACAAATGAATCGTAACGCACACTCGAAACTGAACACAGCTGCATTCACCTGGACATACTATTAATACCCTCTTACAATATAAATATAGTGAGTCCTTTTATCTCCAAAAATATAACACACAAATTACAACAAAGCAAGAACTTTAGTAAGAGACTTCATTATTTCATTTGACAAGCTAAATAATGCTCCTGCTTCCTGTTTTCTTGTTCCATGGTCCCAACCACTGAAATAAACAGCTCTATAAAAATCAGGCTGATGCCTGGCCATCACTCTCTGCCTTATCCGAAGCCCTAGAATGGAGCCATGGGCACTTGCAGAAGAGGTAACACCTAAATGCAATATTTCAGTGGTGAACCAGGACTCGTGTGGCTGTGCTGCAGCAGTCAGGGATGAGCAGAGACTGGAATGTGGGTGTAGAATTATCTCTGCAGAGCCAGGAGGTTTTTGCAATGGCATCTGTTTCCATTTAAGTTAGTCTCCACTGAAGTCCACAGTGCTTGAAAACCAGTTCCTCTGAAAGCTACTCTACAAAGAATGGGGAAAGTGAAGCACTAGATAGTAACAGGGAACCCGTACGCTGCAAGAAGTGGCCTCAAAGTGAAATAAGATTCGAAACATGCTGCGTATTATTCTAGTAATATTATGTCTCATCTGAATACATTTCCGAATTTGCCTCTCTACGTTCCTTCCTGTCACACACTATAAAATACATGAAAAGCCAAGAAATGGGAAAAAAGGCAGTGGGACCATCTCTTCTGTTTTATCTACTGGTTTCATAGGGAGTTTTGAGGCTGAATTAATGTTTGAAAGGAAGTCTGAGATTCTCAGATGAAACATGCTACTGAACAACATGCTTGCAGTTTCCTACACACAGCCCACATTTTTCTCTATGTAATCATTACTTGTATAAACCCATATTATTGAAATCATACATTAACTATTCTTTTCTATTTTGCCATGAGATTAGTTTAGTTTTCATTTAAAAGACAACTATCCCAAACTGTAAATCAGTATTTACTTTAAAAAATGAAACAGAAGTAATGCACAGTACTCTATACTTCAGCATCAGCCCTTTAGCAGTACTGGAAAGTTGGGAGGGCTATGAACCAGACAGAAATGTTAACTACATGACAGCATACAATGAGAAATTAAACTTATCTCGGGCTGAGATGTTAAACTAATGATGTTTTTGGGAAAGGAAATGCTTTCTGGATTTGCCAGTTCATTCACTGAATACATTCTGTAACCAAAAATGAAGTCATATAAAAGTTAGAACTGAGTTTGCCTATATTATAATTGCAGTACATGATGTCCACAGTACGATGGTACTATGTGACTGGTAATTGCTGGCTAGATCATGACCTTCACCCCAACAAATCCATTCCGTTCCCTCTCCCATGCAGTTGTGTCCCTGGGGCCTGAGTTAGATAGAAGAGAAGAGAAAGCACAAGCCATTCCCTCTCCAAGGAGCAAACTGCTAGAAGAAAGGATTTTGTAGGTTTGTCCTGCAGAGTGACTGCCTGCAGGTCTGGAGCGTTGCAAAGAAGGCAGAGCTGTGCACGTGGGGCAGAGCAGAGCGGGCAGAGCGCTGAGCAGAGACGCTGCCAAGCTGTGACACATGTAACCTTAACTTGGGATGTCTTATAGACAGAAACAACTCCACTAAATAAAAATAATAATAATAATAAAAAAAAGCTCTTCAAACCTAGATTCAAGGCTTTAAGAATATAATTAACTGACCAGAAAGCTCATGGTAATTGTTTTAATTAAATTCTGAAATAAAAGGAGCTAGAGAGAAAATTAGACTGTACCTGTTTTCTGTACTTGCAGCTCCCTTTTGGCTTGTTCGAGAATGGATTTGATGGCTTCATCAGAGCCAGTCTCCGTGGTTCGGATTCTTGTGGTTATATTACCTGAAGAGGAAAACAAAACTAATGACACCGGGAAAACTTTTATTTGTTTGGTTGTTTTTTTTTTAACACAGACAGCATATACTGATACTCCGCCAGCATGACCTGACGAAAAGTTTACATAGGACCTTTACTAACATTTACAACACCAAGTACTTAACATAATAAAAGACAAATATCCTCATTGTGCAAAAGCCTGCCCGCTAGCTGCACTAGAATGATGAGAACACTGACACCATCAGAGGAAGAACTAGGTGGTCATATATTCCTTTTCCAGGATAACATATATAGGTCTATTTTTTCCCTTTTCTTTTTTTTTGGAAGGGGAGAGGAAACAGAAGGGAAAAGAACCAGAGGTGAATGGAAGAAAGCTAAAAACATAAGATCAGGAAACCTTAAAAATTGCATCAGCTGCTAGGCGAAGTAGGATGAGTATACATTCAGCCCAAAACAGAATTAAAAAGTAACTAGATAAAAATAATTTTTAACTTTCTAGAGGTTAATACATTAAGAGAAACAGTCATTTAAACACAGATACCATTTGAAGTACTCTCCAGCTAAGAGCTATTACTTGGTGGTTTGATTTTGTTTCGGTTTATTTAACCACTAAGGGGAAGAAAAGGAGGGAAAACTATGACTGCGAATGTTATTGTACTTAACTGCATTTTTCATTATGAGATTATCATTTGTAAGTGAGCAAGATAATTTCTGACTGGAGTAAAAATATCTACAGAGTTTCACAGGGCACCTGTTTTTGGTTTTTCTTTTTCTTCTTGCCTTGCTAAAAGAAAAATTCTGCGACTAATGTATAACAAAGAAAAACGTTCATACTTCCTGTTCTGTGATAATTTATTGGATCTGATGTTCACTTATGTTGTTGTCTTTTTCATATACCATACTGAAGTATCATACTAATTTAACAGCATATTAAAGTGTATTTGTCAACATAAGCCCCATGAGAAGAAAGAAGTAAATCTAGAGCAGAAGCAGTATGCAATCGATGTTGTAATTGTGCAACCTTCTGCCTCCAAAATCACAAAAATAGCAAAGAGAGCATTTCAATAGATCTGATGATTTTATAAAGTCACTTCTATCACTTATTTCTTTTTATCTGCGTACACAGCGAGGTTGGGAGTGGAAAAAGTATCCAAACAGGGTTACGTTAGTACAGCAGCAGCAGAATTAGAAAAAGCAAAGTGTTCGTCTAACCCATGGTTTGTTTTATACTTACTGTCTGTTTTTCTATCAGATTCCAGGCCAGAATCAAACTGCACAGTTTTAAGGAAACACACAGCTAAAGCACACTCCACTTCCTAGGTATTGACTGCAAAGAAAAACACCTGCCTGTGACGTACCTTCAGACCCATTTCTTCGTTTCGGTACTTCCTGAAATAGTCTGTTCAGGTTCTGGCCTGGATTCTCTGTTGAAAAACAAGTTTGGTAAGAACAAAACAATCAGGGGATGGTTGCTCTGACATCATGGGCTGTGTGACATGAGAAGCTAGCAACCTGTCTCTGAATGCGAGGGTTCGAGCTGTCCTCGCCCCCTCAAGCCTTTGTCTGAGCACTGGAGGAGCTGGCTACTTTGGAAGAAGCAAGGCTGGCTGATTTGTTAATAAAGATTACAGCTACGTTCGGAAAGGAGATTAGACAGATATAAATAAATGTCTAGAGATACCAAAAATGAAGAGGTTAAAGATGGGCAGATAATCCCCTCAAGTACAATCATCAAAAGGAAGAACAGATTATAAATCTAACAGTGTGCGCTTTCAATTAAACAAAATCTAGGAAAACCCTGCCTGTCCTTTCCAGTATTTCTTGACTGTAAACAACTTACTTTTCAGTTTCTCTAAATGTAAATCTCAGTCTTTGCTTAAGATGAATCACAATGAAATGCATGTTATTTCTTAAAACCACTGCCTTAAATATGCAAAGCTGCTTTAAATTAGGATTGTTTTTTAATTACTCATCTCATGCATCACCTATGATATTTTGTCAAAACACTCTGGGGGGAAAAAAAAAAAAATCACACAAGACACAACAAGAGTCTGGTCTCAATAAACAACCCCAAATAAAAATTTTCAAGTATTTCTGAGGGCTGATACCCTTAGTAGCTGCTGACCCTTTTCACTCAGTATTTGGCTCTGACATGGAGCTATTGGGAAGTGAGGGATGTAAGTGTCCCTGCTACTTGCTCCTGCTGACAAACACAAGTCAGCGGCTAAAAAAAGCATAAGCAAAGATACTAACCTGCTCGAGTGCTGAAAAGCAGAGTTAAAAAGCTGTGCTTTCTGTACCTGACATCTGATTCGGGTGAAAACGGCAGCAACGCACGAACGGCCCCGTACAGGGACGCGTCCGATTTTTAACCTCTGTAACTAACAGGAAAACCGGGTGAGACCCTTGGCCGGCGAGCACTTACCTCTTTGTCTACCCTGGATGCTGCGAAGAGCCAAGATGTTCTGCTCGTCCGAGAGGAACTGCTTCATCTTATGAAATGGCTCCTTGCCTCTCACAGTCAGTTTATTCCATGGCTTTGGCCGGGCTAGTATCTCACTCACAGACCCTTGCGACAGTCCCAACACATAATGTCCAAATATCCGCTGTCCAATATTGTGCTTGATCAATTGCTCTTTCACCTGACGTGCAATTTCAGCTGTGTCTATCTCCTCGCCTTCAGAGATGCTCCCAGCACTTTCTGACTGGCTGGGAGACGGGGCCATGCCATTTACGTCCGGACTTTGTTGTAATGGACTTTGGGAAGATATGGAGTTTGTGCTGTAAGGACCTGTTGAAAAAATCATGCTTGTGCTTCCTGCTTCCTGCATTGCCTTGGAGTAGAAGGACTGCATTAGCTGTCGCTGGAGGAGAGAGTTTAGTGCAAATTTTCCTGTGGAGGCCAGGGGTAAGCTGGGGCTCGCCAGGGATGAGCTGAAAAAGTCTTGACTTAAACCCGTTGGTGAGAACTGGTGTGTACCATTAGTATTGGAAGCCTGCTCCCCCGCGTTGCGGAGCAACTGAGAAGGAGGGGAGGCCGGCAAGGTTGCAGGACGCTGACTCTCAGGCTGGTCTTTCCCTTTTCTCCTGGCTGACCCTACAAGGAAGGTCAAACATAATGCATTATGGGGGATCAAAGAGGGAAAAACCAAGATAAAAAAATGCAAAGTTTGCCCCGCAAAGGGAAAAAGTGCAGATTTACAAGGGCCAATGAAGTGGCGGTGGGATTTTTGTTTTCGTTTTGGTTTTGGTTTGTTTTCGTTTGTTTTTTTCCATAATTGAAATTTTAATAAGCCAAACAAGGCCCCCAAAACAAACAACATGCATTTCATGTTTGCACCTTTCTTGTATGTTGCAGCCTGGAGAATCCCCCTTACAAACATTAAAACTAGAACAATTACATGAAGTGCAGTTATACATTTAAAATAAATGCAGTTACAGACAGCAAGTCTCTTTGTTGTCTCTCATTCAAGACATTACTCATTGGACCTGACTGAACCCAAATGCAGCAAACATTTACATTTTGGAACAAACCAATTTGAATAAAGGAATCACCATTAGGTGGATGCACCAAGATCACTCAGTTAAAGTCATAAAACGCTTCAGAATTCAGTAATCCCAGGGCCAGTGGCAACTTTTAACTTTCTTCCAGCTGCAAAAACCATAAGCATTCAAGTATCTGGAAATTCCATGACTTGCCATTTAAAAAATGTGCACACAAGATGTAAAAAGCCCACATTAGGAAAGCTAAACGCCAAACACACTTCACTAAAAAGAAAGTATTTTGTTTTTCCAAGCTGACCTGCTGGTAGTATATCTAAATGTATCAGACAGGAAGATTATTGTGTTCTACATGCAAACATTTTGCATAACATTGTGTGTGGGGGAAGAGACTTCTGGTGCCACAGATGATTTTGTTCTCAAAACGGAAGACAGCCTCAAATGCTACCGCTTGGTACATATTGTAATGCCTCTCTTTCCTAACCTTTAAAGACTCTCTGAGGTCTCCAAGTTTTATTTTATTATCCAGCCTATAAAACTGCAGAAATCAAATGTTACTTAGTGTTCTTGTTGCCTCTTAATCTTTCTGCCATGCATTAGCTCAGACATTCATCTCTCACTCAGCCCTCCCTCCCTTTACAAGACAGCAAACAAACCAGAATAGCCAAAAATCGTGTCAACCTACCACTCAGGTCACTATTTGTGATACGCAGCGTGGCGTTCTCAGACTGCAAGGAGCGGTTCTTCTCCAGCAGCAGCACCTCCAGCGGTTTAGATGCATCCTAAAGAAAATCAAAGTGGGAGGTTTGTTTCTAAAAGCATTTAGAGTCTCACTCAGGCACTGAAAAAGAATTTCAGAACTAAAAAACAAATGCTCATCTCTGCTATGAACGCAGCTAGGGAATTCACCATGCATATATTTGCAGGAATTACTCAGTGCTCCTACGTGAGCCATAGAAGAGATTCACTGTTTAGTTTTCATTGTAAATCATTCATCAATTCTGCATTATTTTGAAATGTGTAACGGAACATTTTCTTAATCCTATTTATTTTAAAATGGTACTGGCATGCTTTCAATATAAAAGCTGTAGACTTCTTTTAATCTGATTAAAATAGGAGTTAAGATTATATTATTTCTTCTAGGTCAACTGACACAAGTTAAGCATTTGCTTGAAATGCTGTGTTTCAGCATAAACAGTTTGTTAAAAAATAAATCAGTCACAGAAACCTGCCATTTACCTTCCACTAAATAGCTAACCCTTGATCATTAAAAACCATACTGAAAATTAATGCCAGTATATTGATATTCAGTTCAGATTTCAGAAGCAGGAATTTAATTCATAACCTTTAAACTGAAGAAAGATTAATTTGCTGGAATAGCAGAGCTTTCTCCTGTTTTCTCAGTACTCAAAGGTTTGTTTTCTTTTGTGAACATTATTTTCAAGGCTAACAAAGACTTAAAAATGCTAAAATCCTTGCTCAGCGTACTGTCAGTACAAGAAACATGCAAATCTCAGTGTAGCTGTACACCAGCTCTAGTATCTTTAAATGACTCAACTTCACAACATTATGGTTATCCACTCCAGCACAGCTGAAACGTCATTCTTTGTCCTTGACCACTTAAGAGAAATTAACAGGCAAAAAATGTTCAGTTCAGCTTTTTAAATAAGAAAACATCAGGAAAACAGTGATCAACCCATATGTCTCAACAGCAACAGGAAATTGTCCATGCCAACACCAACGAATTGTAAGACAAAAATTTTTGTTAATTAGCTGAACTGCTGAAGTAAGTAAGAAAACGAAAGTAGGTTCAGTACCTGCGCACCAGAGCTTTCAGATGGTGCAAACTCCATGGATTTCAATATACTGTGGAAGGCAGAAAAAAAAATTATTTTCTATTTCTTCTTTTCATAACAACCCCACTAATGAGCATTAACATTATCATTTCCTACTCTCCAGCAACACTACAAGTGATAACAACTTTCCTTGCAGTAACACAGTCTCATAATGAATATAGAATAACTATTCAAACTAGTTATTGGATAAGAAAATTTTCTCGAGCGTCATCTAAATCATTCCATATGCAATCCCACCAGGCCAGTTTAAAGCGTAAATTTAAAGGTTAATAAGGATATAACATTTTAAGCTGTCAGAAGTGATATAAATTTATCTGTGAAGCTTGAAGGGAATGAGAAAGTTGTAGCACAGCAACAAAGCAGGGGAATCACCACCACAGTTACAGTACTTTATATAATATACAGCAGCTCACATAGCAAGGAAAATATGCACAAATAATCTTCCCGACCAAGACACTACAGGCTAAAAGGCAGTTTTTCATTTTAATAACCTCCTAGTTCTATGGCAAAGGGAAGACAAAATGGCACAATATTTCTTAAGAAATTTGAAAGATCCAAATATTTATAAGTACATTAAGAGAAGAATCTGATAGTCTCATTGTCAATATTTTATATAAATACTGAGCAGTCAAAGGATGTCTCCCTTCAAAGTCTTTCAGTTAGAGTTGTATTGTCTGGCAAATGAGAATCTTACAGGAATACAAACTTATTACTGTGCTTTGTCTTCTAAATTTTTTTAAATAGGCCTGCTGCAGGCAGGACGTTAACTTCCTCAGACTGAAGCAATAAATGATTCCAGCTTCTCATTGTACAAAGACGACATTCATTTGTTGAAGAAAAATACATGAACAGATACAGATAGCGTTTATACAGCATTTTTCATGTACAAAGCACCAGGAACTTTGTGAGGCAGGGAGAATATGTTTAATCATGTATTAAATGTGGAAACTGAGTCAAAAAAGGCAGAAGGCCAATATTAAGATATAGGAACTAGTTCTGGATGCCACTAGGACTCAGCCAGGCACCCAGCATCCACTAACTGCCTCAGACCATATGGTGTCCAGCTCCTCTATAAACCTCTGTGCATTAATCCAGAATTAGATGTCCATTAAGTGACACTCTGGAAATCAGTGGTTTCAGTGAGTCATTCAAGATCACTCTAAGTCATAGCAAATCCAAGGAAAAAAAAATCATTTTGAGACAGAAACCTCACGCATCTTGCATCTATGCATACTCACTGCATACAGCGTTAATTCTGACAGGCACTCCTACAAATCTAATAACTAATAAAGTCACAAAATTCTGGCTGTCAGTATCATCATATGACATCGCTGGACGACACCTCTTGCTGGCAGAAACCGCTGTAAGGTAGAGCCGTTGTCCAATACACAAACACATAAAGTAATGCTGTTAAGACTGCTTTACGTGGGCACAACTGCTCACCCACGTGCAAAAGCTCTCCTCTTCTGCTATTAAAGGAGTCGTGTCAGTCAAGGAGAGAGGTTGTGCATTAACGGCTCGAGTTCTGAGAGATCCTGACATTATATTGACATTGCAGGTACGTTTACTCAGGTTGCTAATCACTGCTGAAAGCAAGTGTTTCTTGGGACACCTCTTCAGAGGCACAGCCCTGTCTACCAGGATTCCAAGGTGCTGGGGGAGATAAATATACAGTCTCATCTCGGGGAAACCCCAGCCACTGGTAGGTAACTGTTTTCATCCTCCCATGGATTCTGCAGGGTATGGCCTCTGAAAGGGCAACAGGTAGTAATGTATGTCCTCATGATGCCCAAATAAGGAGACCCATCTGAATTTAAAAAACCAATTTGTAACAGCAAATTATCATATGGCAAACTTCCCCTGGCAAGTCACAGGTGTTTCTCCCATTTCAATTCAGATCAGCAGTACACTTGCAGCGCAGGTCTCCCAATAGTCCCCACTTACCATAATTCAGTTTCCCATGCAGAGCAGTCCTGCAGCATACCAACCGCATTCCTTCTGGATGAGACTAAACCAAAAGAAGCTGCATGCTCTCGAAGGAGAGGGTGTGATGTGCTCTGACCACTACCGTGCTGCCTACAGAACCAGACTGAAACCAGCTGGAAGTGCAAAGTAAGCCTGAACGTATTTAGTGTGTGTATCGGGTTCTCGGCACCAAAAGTCTGGCTTTAAAGCCCTGATCCTGTTGTGCCCTCCACTTGCACAGGTTGCTCTACCAATGCATTTTGGTTCCGAGCACCTCTTGCCAGCTGGGACCTTCAGAAAGGATCCTGAACCTTGCAGCAGCTGCATTTTTCAGTGAGCTTGGAGAAGGCATGCGTATTCAAACCTTGGCTGGAAACTTACTGACCTCTGCCTACTTCGAGTGGATTCTTTGCTACCTGAAACAGCCTTCTGGCAATTTCACAGCTAATTTCCTATATGCTTAGAACCCAAAATATACTAAAAACCAGGCTGATGGTATCTGGAATTGCCCTTGGAGGAATATTCACTACAGCAGGTTCATTTTTCAAAAAATGTAGAAGTTAAACATGTCAAAAATGACTCTCCAAATGTGTCACAAAAGAGACATTTTCCTCAGGAATATGAGGAAGCAAAATGTTTCCCCTTTGGATTCCAGGAATATCTTTGCCCATGAGATCTCAACTCAATCTGCTGCTCAAGATCAGTTATCTGCTTTTAAAAGGAATGATCTTGTGACTTGAATCTGCACATCTAAGATGACTTGAAAGATCTTACTCTAAAGCAAGGTGTGCATTGGGACAGCTCGACTTTCTGTTCGTATGATCCCAACTGCAAAGGCAGGACGGTTAGCACAGTCGTATTACTCGAGAGGGAACTGAAAGGACATACAGAGCTCTCAGATCTCAAAAATAGGTTTAAAAGCCATTTGGCACAAAAGCCAATGCAGAAAGCAAGGAATCCTCCCACCCCAGATCTTGACGTGGATCCAGTTAAGTTCCTCCAAGGTTAGAAGTTGGCTGATATCGAGATCCCTCAGCCTAGAATGCCTCTAACATTCTTGGGAGGATTAAGGAAAATACGTCAGTGCCAAAACAACTGAGAAGTTTATTCTCTTTCTTCCTTACTGACAAGATAATTTTTTTCTTGGTGCATTAGGCACATTACAAGCAGCTCATTTTTGTCAGTGTTTCAGGGCACAAAGGCAGGCATAGTAGGATTCAGTATGAGGGATACCAGATTTACAGCAATAGACTTTTCATAGTTTCACTTCAGATCAGACTGTCATTCTCAGGTGATGCACATCTTTTGGACCAGATGGGAGCAGAGAGGGTGGCATGACTGAGCTGCTGTGATGATGCAGCATTGCAACCATCTTCAGTGCTCTCACAGAGGGTCTTAATGCCTCCCACCATCCAGCAGGATGGTGTATGGACCCCAGGCCACCTTACAAGCTAGCTGGCTGTCCCTCCAAACTCAGCCTGCCCAGATAAAAATTGTTACCCACAAGTTAGGCGATATAAAAGCTATAACAGCCAGGAGAACAGAGTTAATTTATTGGCACCCAACAAGGGCCACTTCCAAGAGGTTCTCCCATCTATTTCACTGCAGGCTCATCTCGAAATAACAGGAACAGGCGGAAGCACCATATGAACACTCCTGTGTCATGGCTTCTCCTGGACCTCTTATCTGCCTTCCAACCCCTGCCCTCATGTAAGTCAGTGTTGTAAAAAAGAAAAAAAAAAAAAAAAAAGGCATTACCACCAGGAATACAGGGATCTAAATAAGTTTCTTATCTAAAGTCAAGTCATTAAACCAGGTAGGATTTAAAACTCATTTGCTGTTTCGGCACATCCACATTTAGTAACTCATGTAGCAAATTGGAAGGTTGTGGCTTAATTCCCATTCACTACTTTACATATGAAGGCATAAACTGGCTGAAATCTGAAGCTGAGTTTCCTTAACTCAGGAGAGAACATGGACATATTTACCTGTATCACTAAAACGATGACACTTTTTCGAGACCAGTTAATATTCAAGTATAATGACCACAAAAATGGTCAAATCATTTCATCTGACTGAAACTATATACCTACATCAGGGTGTGCTGCAGCTGGCAGTGAACCAGAACCACAGCCAGCGTGGCTTGAATATAATAGCACCAGGGGCTGGGCAGTCACTGGGCTTGCAAAACCAAACCTGCTTTCCATATTCTCCAGGGACGTGTAAACAAAAGCACATGACTACCAGCCTCATCTGAAATACCTCATTAAACAAGGTAACATTTTTTTCAGTCTTCTTAAAATACACACAAAAATGCCAGAATGATGAAAGAAGAGATGGAGTTTCTTGCAGTTATTTAAACCTTGACATTAAACATACTTCCAGTCAAAAAACTTCTCTTCTGAACCTGACAGCTTATCTTGTTATAGTTTAAAATGAGGCTCTTTTAAGTCTCTTAAAAACACCCCTTGAAATAGGAAGAGGCTGTTTGTGGCTTTAGTTTAAAACCACAATATATTAGCAAAAATATACAGTGAAACAAGTACAGCATTAAAATGGTAAGTGCTGAACACTGGCTGGCAAAGGCACAGAAAAGGTATTATGGCCAAAGGCCCTGCATTAAATTCTTGGTCCACATTACATTCAGCTGTTGGCTGGGATTTTTTAAAGAGTGTTCCACCTAAAATACCACAGATTTTCAAACTTTTTACCCTTGGTGAACGATAGTTTTAGCACCTTTTCTTCATGAACACTTGTATTATTTACTATTGTGATACTCTGCTGCAACAAAAAGGACTACTCTCAGTTACAGCAGTTGCACTGGTTCTGGATGCAATTTTTGCCAATACTCCCAATTTTCCTGCCTTTGTGGTTTTGCTGAATTCTGTATTGTACCAAGAACACAGATTTGTGGCTTCATTTAACAAGCATTGTTAACCCTAGAGTTTGTGAAAAAATTATGTAAGCATTTAATACTTACTTTAATTCTTTCTTAACCTCTTCATAATCAGCCTGTCCTTTCAGTTTTTCTTCCAGTTGCTTTAAAAGAAAGAACATGGATTTAATTATTTAGATTTTTTCTGCAGGCTTTCAAAATCATCTTTAAATTATTCCATATATACAGCAGTGCACAAGTGAGGGTTAATGACTCATACCCAATTTACATATATTAGAAAACAAACTATAACCAATTCAATGTAAACACAATTATACCTCACTCCTCCTTTGTTTACAGAGTGCCAAGCATTACAGAATTCAGTAGGTCCCAGTTCGGCTGTTTGCAATGTCACTGTCATGTGTTCAATAAAGAGATCAGGGAAGAAGGTATTAAAAATGCGGCAGCTGAAATTTTTACGAAACTGATAAATTGAGTAAACAAGCAGGATGCTTTGGCACATACTGTATTCTTAATACCACAGTTCTTGATAACCTTATCTACAGGAAAAAAAAAAGACTGAAGCTGTTGTTGACTGGAATGCCTTAGGCTTGTTAGACTTCTACAATGCCTCATGCCCAAACAAAACATTTGTACCAAGTCATTTCACAAGCATTGCGTATTGCAATAACTAATATGATTACACATCGGAGATGAAACATTGAGACCACCTCAGCAGGTCTTTTTGCTCAGGTCTACCTGACCTGGAGCAGTCTCAATGGCTTCTCTTCGGTGTGAAGATGCCACAAACATTGAAAAAGACCTCCTAACACAATCCGTAACGCAATGCCACACATTTGGACCTTACCCAAGAGCCCCTGCTCCCAACAACAGTGCTCATCACTGCGGGAAAAATGCTTCAGGAGGCCGATGCTGTTAACGTCACCTGCAGAAGCCACATTAATTTCTCACTAATAATTTCTTTGCTTAGTACAGGCACACCTGATCTAAGCAAAGAAAGAACAGAACTTACTGGCCTGCAACTTCCACGGGTAAGTTCAGGCTAGCTCTGCTTCACTTAGTTTTTGGTGTTAAAATTGGCACAGAATCCCAAAGGTCACAGGAAACAGAAATAACACAAGGGTGTACCACCCTCAAAGACAGAGCATCTACTTTGAAAAGGAAAGAAATATATGACATGAAAAAGAAAAACAGGGCTTTATGTCCAGGAGAGGCTGCCTTCAGCGGAGAAGTGAATTCAAGAAGATCCTACACTCACTCCTGGGCTGCTCATTGAATGCAGGAGGAAGGCAGGGAAGGGCTGCCGTGAACTTGGATAATTTTAGCAAACCTGTTTAAAATGCAGCCTCACAAAGCTCTGCACCAGCACAGTTATGGGTGCATGAGCAGCAGGGCTGGGACAGACAAACAATCAGAAGTGGGAACCTCAACTTCATGCTGTCTTCCCAAAGTAAGCCAGTGTGTAGGTATCACCCATCTCAAAGCCATCCAGTGGGTACAGGCAGCTATGCAATACAGCCCTCACAGATTAGTGACTCCATCATCTGAGCCACCTTAATAATTTAAATGAGGCTTCTTCAGATGACAATAGCAGCATGATGGGGCTTTGTTGGATTTCCAGCTGTTTTGCCATCTTCTAAAGGACTTCCTATCGTGCCCTTTCCAGCTTATGCATTGCTGACATTTCTGCCTTGCCATTAGTACGCACATTAAAAAGCAGTGACAAAGTGGACATCCATGTTATCAATATACAGCCCTCTTAAATTCCTGCTCCTGCTTTTTGATACCATAATCCACAATCCTTAGTCACTGCTGACAAGAGGCATCTCCTGGCAGTAATACATGGGCCCAGCTCTGGCAGCTGTTCAACAAGCAACTCTTAATGGATCACCACCACCGCTTGCTGCAGGAAAGCAGAAACTGTTGTTAAGTGTGGAATTTGCACTCTACGGGACGTTGATGAAACGAGCAGCTTTTTAAAAGGTCTTGTGTCTTAGCATCCTTAGCCATCAGTAACTTGTGCAGTCATTTGGATTGTGTTAAAAAGAAAAAAAACCCCAAGTCCACTTCAGCTAAAACAGTTTTTTTCACCTGGAATAAATACAGGGCAAGTTTTAGTCATTTCTTCTGACATGTCCTGCCTTACCAAATTCCAGTTACTAACTGGAATTATAGGGAGTACTGACTGCTTTATACAGCAGACACAGCGCTGCATGTATTTTAGCCCTACTAAAAAACCGTATACTGACATAACCAGGAAAATCCTGGTTGATGTGACCAGGAAAATCCTACAAATATTAAAGATGTTTGAGGTTTTGATAACCTCCAACATGTGTTGAAATCTCATTATGCAAATGTACTACATAATCCCAGGGCCCAAGGTGTCACTTCAGTTCTCTTAAGTTTTAAGGAGGGCTACCTACAACATGCCACAGGTTTAAGCAGCATGTCAAGCTACAGCTCAACGCTGAGCAAAAGAGTTACTAGACTTTTTAACGCACCAGATCAGACTCAGTAAGACTGGAGAGGGATCTTTAAATGAAAGCAGTGAGCCAGAGAGCCGTTGGTACTGGGGAGGAGACTCAGCATCATGACTGACAGCTTCAAAACTCGACACAGGCAATGGGAGGACCCTGCTGAACACCACACACACTTTTCAGCTTTCTTTGGCCATGTCACTCTGCCGGCTGCTTCTAACTGCTTTTTGCTGCTCTATAGCTTAAAGCAAAGATACACTACAATTCATCTCTTCCTTAACTCTGACTCATAACATTTTTGGGTCTACAGCAGATTAGTTTTTACAGTGGGGATAGCTGGCTATTTACACTAGTCCTCAGTATAAAAAGTACTGGAATAAATTTAAACTAAACAATATCCTGGATTAATATGTTAGTTACTTACGCAAAGATACACTAAGAAAAAAGCCTTTTGTAGAAACAGATATAAAATACAGAAAAGCTAATGATTCCCATTTTAATGCAATCTATATTAAATGTAATTCTGTATAGGGATATGCTACACCCTGAAAGTACTTCTGGAAATTTTAGGTACAAAACACAGTTAGAAAAAAAGAAGGAAAAAACCCGATGTTGACAGAATGAAGCTGTTTTGGACTCTCGGGTACTTGTATGCTTTCTAGCAGTATGGCAACCAGCAATATTTTACTTTGAATTGTATAAAAAATACATACATCCATCATTCCCAAGTACCTAAACCAGAGATTGATGCCATGGAAAATCTGCACCTAAGTGTATACTTTACTAAACAATATAAACTAACAACTGAGAATGTAATGCCTGTATATAAGCAGACCATTTAGGCACCTGGCATCTTCCCAGTCAATGACTGTTTTAAAATGTATTAGTATGGTAATTGTCTCAAAGAACCCTGTAAAATGCACAGAACATGGTATAACAAAGGTTCAAGCTGTGAGACAATCTGGAGGAACTAATATCTTGCACTAAATATCAACCTGGTTAATTCAGACAAAATATATTCTAACGTCCTCCAACACACAAAAATGCAGAGAGCCAGAGGACAGAAGGAATGGACTGGTGGCATTTCTGCACAGTAACTTTGCAAATATTCCATGTTAAGGAATCGTATTGCATTTGTTGTATGAATGAACCCATGTTAAAGCATGCACAGATTGGGTCCCCTCTTATGTTATTTTAACAAAAAAATCATTACTGTATTATTAACTAAAGTGTCTTAGGTAAATAGCATGGGCTGTATTAAGGGGCTTAAAACATTTTAAAAAACCCATTAGATTAATGTCGTAGTTTAGTTTAGAGTGATAAACTAAAAAGCCCATATTTAATTAACTCAGATTATTTAATGTATCTCTTTGCTAACTAGCACTGTTGTATTTTAACTGCGTAGCATGGAAGCTCTAACTCCCAGCAACAAAGGGTTAATATAATTATAGTGAGAAAAGTCTTGTTACTAGAGGACATGTTTTGATTATTAGATCAGATGAAGATAAAGAAGCAATAATTTTGAAAGTATTTCTGTATTGTTTCATTAAGTCATAGGGTATTAAAGAATTCCCCCAAGATATGGTCTGAGAACACTGCTTTAATTTGTGAAACTGTGATTCATTTTTTGTGGAGGCAACCATTACAATCTCAGTTATTTTAAAAGCAATTCCTCTATAATCAAACATGAGATCAACATATCACCACTGAGATTTCGTTCTTTGTACAACAGATCTCAGACACAGTTTTTCCCAGCATTTTGGGGTAAAAGTACGTACTTTGAAGTATTTTTATAGTGCAACAAATAAGGTTAAAGAGGGCTGAAATGACTAAAACTTTATCAACAGAGTCACTGCATCAGACACTATCAACAGGAACCTAAATACAGAGCATTAGCTGGGCAAGCCTGTGAGAAAATGGAAGGAGATTACTGAAATGAAAATCAAAGACTTGCTCTGTCATTTCTATGATCCTATTCCCTTTGAAGTTAATGGCTAAACTAATACTGACCTCACCAGGAACATGCTTTATTCCAAGAAAATCTGTCAAGTGCAAGGACTCAAGGTATTTTCTATCAGGCTTTACGAAAAAATAACCACCCCACCTCCCCATAATCATGGGTGTAGCCAGCAAAATGTGTCCCTCAAAACCAGGCCAGCTCCTTCCTCCCTCATTAAGAGGGGTGCCCACACGGTGACAGATGGGCAGAGACCAACACTGTCAACATAGGAAACTAATAGGTTTCCTTCGCTCTACTGAATTTTCGTAAGAATTCTGCAAGGCTGTCTTAAAACATGCAGAAAGCATAGTGAATGCAACACTTCAGCTCTCATCCCTAACAGACGTTTCTCCACATAAATTATGCTACACCAGAGCAAAACTAGTAACTGCTAAAAAATGTCAGAATTAGAACAATTTGTAGAGTTTCAATTGAACATTAAATCATTCTGATAGAGGAAAGCTACCCACGCCACAGTCAGAGCTAAGTGGGTACTATCAGCCTCCTGCTTTCAAAAAACTCTCAAGACTATAAAACCTGCAAAACTATGAAGTCTTTAATGGAATAGATAAATTTATCTTGTTTACACTTTGAAGCTCATAGACGGTAGAACAATGAAAGAGACAGGAGTTACAGGAAACTGATTCATAACACATCAGGAAACATTTCTCATGCTTACTGATAGATCAAAACTGTGTGGGCTAGCTCAGAAAGAAAGTAAAGCTGCTGAAGCAAAAGGTAAAAGGGTCACTCACAAAATTGTTGTTTTATCTGGTTTTAGTGCAGTGGTACTGGTATGCAAGTGAATATAGGACTGGACCGCTAATTATAAATGGCAATTACTCTGCAGCAAATATACAGTTAAAAAAAATAATTAAATGGTTATTAAGACTAAAAAGCCTTCTCTCTCTGTTTTCATTTTACTTGTTTTTATGCTCTAAATGATACACTGCCCTTTTCCAGTGGAGAAAACTAGACAGGGTACCAGGCAAATTCAAAGACAGACCACAGCACAATAAACACTCCTGACAAATCTGCAATACCTGTCACTAGAATGGGAGTTAAAAGTTTTAAAACCTAAGAAGGATTTTCTGTGCCTTTTCAGTTCAGCTATTTCACTACATATCCATGGTAAATATATGTTGGGTTTTGTTGGTGGGTTTAATTCTAAAGGTAGCTAAGTTCTGCAAAAACAAATTTCAAAAATTTCAAATTTCAAAACAATGAGAACTAGGTAAATTAAATTTCAACAAAACTGTGATCGCTTAGAATAAAATGTCACAGAAACTAGAACTCAACAGCACCCTGAAGAAGTCAGTGGCTTTTACGGTGCCTCTCAGAACCACAGAAAGCTTGCATCAGTAAACCCCAATATTGGTACGTCAGTTATATCCTTCGAAAGCTGCTGAGCACAGAACTGAGTCTTACTTTAAGTGTGCTGTTCTTGGCAGTCAGCTGCTGCTCCAGCTGTGAGATTTGGCTGCTGGAGTTCTCCCGCAGCTTGGTGAGGCTGCCCTGGAGTCTCTGGACATCTTCTACAAGCTGGGCGATTTCCCGCTCCTTCGCAGCTAGTTCTACTTCCAAGCTGGACCGTGTTAGGACCTCGATGGCCTGCTCCTAATGTGAAAAAAAGTATTAGACCACACAAATAAAAAAAGGCAACAAGCTTGAATTTAGGACAGTTAGGTAAGGACTAAACACGGCAGCAGGTGGCGGGAGAGACAGAAACAATTACTAAATCTGGGACTCCCGTGATTGACTGCGTGAACCTGGAAGATGAACCCTTCTGCTCCCCAGGACAGCTCTTTGGTAAAATAGGGATAATGGAGAGAATAAATTTCCCTATTTCATAAGTGCACTGGAAAGATACAGCCACAAAAGTCAAAGGATTCTATTTAGAGCTATTTATTATTAATAGTCCAAATGCTTTGACAACTATCAAAATCCGTGCTTACAAAATACTAATCAGATAAAATATTCTGAAGTAATGGAGCAGAATTTCTTAATCAGGAACAGCAGAGTCATGTGCCTTTGGCTCTTCGTATGTATGCTGTACGTTTCAGGCAAAATTGTCAAAAATTGCCCCAAACTGCTACTTCCAATGAACTTGCTCCTTGCATGAAAACTGTTCACTGTTAATATTATTGCTAGCAACTAAAGCCCCATCGTCCATGGGGATGAAGATAGATGTGACAGCTGTAAGACAAGGCCATTCTCCCTTTGGTCTCTGCTTTCAGAAATTCCCTTTCCTAAATCAGGATCTTTCTTCTTCCAGTTTTCCACAGCTGCAAAACCTGTCCTCAAGTCTGCAACTTCCTCACTAGACTCACTTTCCAATAGGACAAGAAATAAGAGAGGACAGAGAAGTTAAGAAGAAGGTAGATATACTCAGAAAAGATAATACAGACTAATTGTACCATCTCTTCTGTCTCCTTTTGTATTAAGAAATCAATAGTTATAATGCATTGGAGAGCTCTGAACCTCTCTTCCATGAAGAACGTAAGGAAATCCTTGTGCAGATCTGGGGAGCACAAGGCAGCCCAATGATGAACACACATTCCATTAAAAAGCCTAAAACGCATCTTACAAAGGTTAATGGCTGTTCCTCAGAAAACACCAGTGAAGTAGGAAAGAATCCATTTACCAAGAGAGACAACGATCGTAAGCATTATATCAAAGATCCTACAGCGAAAGAGCTGAAAATTCAACCCACCGACGCTGTCACCCAAGCACTTCCCTTACAATTCAAGATGACATTGCAGCAGATTGAAATATACTCCATACCCTCTTTTCTGGAAAATACAGGCACAACAAAATACCTTTTCCATATCTTCTAAACACTTAGCTTGATTCTCAGTGACTACATACCATTGTATCTCACAGAAAGCTACATGTACGAACAGCAGTTAACAACGCTCTCCTATTACACTGAATTATACTTTTAACTTGAAAAAACCTCTAATTTGCTTGCATGAAACATCACAAGTTGTATAATCATCTGCTGCTTGTGCCTATTGAGACTAGAATGTAGAGTCTGAAATAAGATAGATAATGATCATTTTCATCCTGCAGTAGTTGTCATATTAAATATAAATGAAGTGCAGAAGTACTATTAAATACAAGAAAGACCTAATGTTAAAATAATGATAAGACTAGGACACGAGATAGGAAGAGGCAGGTAATTCACAGTTACAAGTGATATTCAGGCTTTTTATTTTTTGTTTTGCAGCCTGCTTGTCTATCTTTTGACTTCTCTGAGAAAATACTGGGTTGTATTAATAGACGACCAAACAGACCTGGAGGACTTATGGTTTGTTACTCATTCTCTGCAAATGTATTTTAAAGGCAACCCTGTGTTTCTCCGATATCGGTCTCAAGCATGTACATGGCTTGCAAGAAAAAAGCACTGTAAGGAGCACAATTTCTTTTGTTTGTTAAATCTGCTGCTTAGAAGTACACTAAATTTCACTTAATTGCATATTTACATTTAAATACTCCTATTTCTCCTTTGGCAAACAAAACCCAAAATAATCTGTCTGCTCATCTGTGATACCTGTTAACCCAGGACCAGCTGGAGTCCTGTAACAGCACTCTGTGCCCGCAAGGTCTGATCAGCAGAGTCAGCTCTACCAACCTCCCCAAACAGTGGTGTTCGCTTTATTTAGAAATACACAGAGAAGGCAACAAGCAGCCAAACCTTTAGGAGTACAGGATATTTTCTCAATTTCCTAAGCTTCTTTTATTGGATTTATAGGTGTAATTCTCAGTTCAGATACAGTCAGCGAAAACTGCAATGATACCAAATTTATTTCTAGTTCCTCTGACGCTAAGAATAACAAGACCCAGAAATGGGCAGGCAGCAGGCCCTTGCTAACGCAACCAAATCTGGGGAAAGTTGGTTCCCTTGGTCTGAAGCTCTATGCCTCTGCTGTGACCTCCAGGCAGGCATGTGCTGATGGCCCACCAAGGCACTCTGTTATACTGCATCGCTGCCTTTATTTTTCCTCTGCTGATGCTCTTACCAATGTCAAATCATTTCTGAGAGTTGCTGCTATCCACCTGGACCGGCAGCCACGGAGAGCTATGGATCACTGCACCAGTCACCACGCAGCAGAGGACCTCTGTCCCTCCTGTGGTCTTCTGCAGCCGCCAACCCCCTCAGAAGTCTAACCAAACCGCAATTCCAAAGGAACACAATTCCATTTCAGTTAAAATACTACTCCAAATAGATATTTTTATAGCTGTGAGCATAAATTGAAAGAGCTGTACTGCAGGAATGTCAGAAACCTGTAAGTCAGTAAATATTTTCTCTCACCACATCAGGTGCCTTCTGGATCTGCGTAGCAAGCTGGAGAGATTTGTTAGCTGACGAGAGTTGCTCCCTTAAGGTCTCTGCCTCTCTCTGAGCCACCTCTGCCCTCTGAAGGAAATGAAAAGGGGTGAAAAGAGAAAGTACATTCAGTTTAACAACTGACAATTATTACAAGAACATTCATCAATTCATGCCTGACTGAATATAATTGATTTTCCTAAACACTCAACCTAATAAATGTTAGAAAAAAACATAGAATGTGATGGATTTTTATTTTAAACAGTACAAGGAAGAAATAATTGAGCGATTATGACAGTAATTTAACGCTAGGAGCAAGGAATCCCCTGCTGATACTAATGCTGCGGCCCACTGAATTTCCCAGACTGAATAAATACAAGTGGAAATGGAGTCTTTTTATTCAATTTCTTTCTATTCTCATAGACCAAGCAGATTTTATTGCAAGGTTCCTCATGGGAATAATTCTCACGGGTAAATGCTGAATTAAAAGATATTCTGACCATTCTCTCTAACACACATACAATGTTGTGGGCTGTCTTTCTTCAGTAATTATTTCCCAAAACATGAATCGTTAGATTCTGTTCTTTCTGCAGGTCTATTTATTCAACAATATTTAACCCTAAACTGACCATTTTGCACAGATCAGTTACCAACTGCTGAGCATTTACGCAATATCTGATAAGCCTGTGACTTGGCTACCACACAAAATCCCCATATAAATACTGAATAATAACAGAAAGGAGAAAAGCAGAATTATGAGGAAAGATTGCCTGTACAAGAGTTTGGGCAGAGACAGATGGATCAGTAACTTCAGGCAATAAATAGCAGCAAAGACCTTTCTGTAAGTGTGTATAAGCTTCTGTTAAGAAAAGCAGAACAAAGCCTGGTTGCTTTTACAGTATATACTCCTCCTGGCCAGACTTTCTTTTTTTAAAAAAAGAAAAAAGTATTTTATTGTTATAAAACCACACTGCTTACCTCCTTGAGTAACCACTGCTTTTCACCTGGGCTACTTCATGCAAATAATGCTGCACTTTCAGCAGAAAATAGCTAAAATAATTTTCTATCTCCACTTCCAAGATGTATCGCCAACTCTTCCAAACCCATGAGCTGTCACCAATCAAGGCCAAAACTTTTCTTGACCAACTTTTACCCTTTACACTGATAGGTCCCTTCCTTTACTGAATAGTAAGTTCACACTGCCATTTTGAAGCCACCAAAACTGCTGTTATTTCTGTGTGCCAGACTCCCTGCTTTTTCAGCTAATCCTTTTGAAAACCTAAGTCATCTAAAATAGCGAATATAAACCCTGCACCCCTATGGGTGTGCATGGTCTTTGACTTACTCACTAGCCAAAGCAGAGAGTCTGTCTGCATGTTTAATCAATCAGTAAACTAACGGCAATCAAATACTAAACGCATCATCTGCGCTATTTGCTCACAACATTATATTAAATGATTTTGCTTAGGTTCTACAGCTCTAATTAAAATGTAGTTGTAAAAAGTACAGTAACGTGGCTCTAATAATCAGAGCATGGGACATAACCTATTGTGTGCTTGAAAAAATGGTAGCAGCATTAAAAAGGCACAAAAAGAGAAAGTTTACGTTGTTTGTGCAGCTGGATAATATCAGGATGAAAACCTGAGCTAACAATACACATTGAGGTAAATTATTTTTCCGCACTTTATTAGATGTGGATGTACGTATATTGATCTAATAACTGCTAAACAACTCCAGCAAAGCAGGACAAGTTACTACACTGTGGCACTTGCTCTTGCATCTACTGCTGTATAAGTAATGGGTTTTGCAGCCTTAAGCAATTCTGCTGATGGCTTCCATTCACAGCAGCATTGTTTTGAGAATCTATTCAGCTTGCATGCAAGCAAACCACAGAGGATATTTCTAATAGATGTTACATCTGCATATACAGTAAGCTGTCAGCTGCCCTTTCTGCCTAGCCTCCCCAGCCAATTCAGAACACCTGTTGTAATCCCGTGAATAATATTAGACAAGATTTCATACTATGCATTGTTAAAAATACATCAGCAGAAACTTTGGGCAATTCTATTTGGGAAATACTGGTCAATTTTTCTTTTTTTTTTTTCCCCCCAGCATGGAAGCTTTTTAGAGCCAGAATTATAAATGTGTTCAGTGTCTGGAAAGCACTTTTGGGTGCTATTGCAATATAAATTATAAATTACACACACAAACCTGTTAAAAGAACGGTAGTTTCAAAATCGAGCACTTAGAAGTTTTGAAAAGCCAACCCCAAGGCTGCGGGTACGTTCGGCCACTCCCTGCGCACAGAGCTTTGGGAGGCAGGCTGGAACTGCACAGTAACATGCTAGTGCTTTTTCCTGACGAGACCCCCTACTTCATTCAACTCTCCGCATGAATATTGCTCAGCGAGTGAATATTTTGCTTTGTCCTCCTTGTTCTGCGTGTGACCTCTGCAGTTTATTTACTGCAAACTAATCCCACCCTCCTCTGCAGATAGGATTAATCGCTTCCTCACGGGCTGTGGTCTGGTTTCCACCACCAAAGGACCTAAGAGCGTCAGAATCGTTTAGGAACGCCCTGGCACTACCCCCCATTTTGAGCTGTAGGGGATCCTCAAGCCCCCAGCGTATCGCCATTCGGGTGCTGCGCACAGCAGCGTCAACCACAACCTCACCGCGCGGCACGGGCTGCCTGCGGCCGTTTCTCACCTGCACCCGGGACTCCATACAGCGGCTGCAGCGCTGCTCCCCTGCAAAACCCTCTGGTTTTGCCTCTCTGACTCCTACCCCTCTCTGCTTGTCGCTTTGTCCCCTTCCCAATTCATTCTGGCTGCTGGAAGCACCATTTTGGTCTTCTCTGAGCTTCAGGCAGGCAAAAGCAAGCTCATACTTTGCACGACACGAACTTCCAGAATTAGTCTTACCCCCACGATTTCCTCCTTCCTCTTTTCCTCGTTGCTTCTTCTCCAAACGTCCTTGCAGCAGCCCCGTCCCGGACCTTCTCCTCCTTCCCTCCCTCCCCACCACAAACCTCCTCTCCCCGTCCCGCTCTCACGCCGACGCTGCCCGTCTCCCCGTCGCGGCAGGGGCAGCCTGGGGGAGCATCTCCCCTCCCGGTGCTCCCCGTGGAAGTGGCACTGGACCTTACATTACAACCCAGAGAAGAAAAACCTGGCCGGTTAATGTTCACCCAGCCGGCGCAGTGATAGGCTGCAGCGTGCTTGGGACAGGCACGGACATCAAAGCCCACAAATTCAAACCAGATTCTGTTGAGTTTGTGTGAACTCTTTTTTTTTTTTTTTTTTTCCCCTCAGACGCTTATAGGCTGGCCAAACTTGGGGCTTTTTTTTTTTTTCTTTTGCTACTTGAAGCAACAGAAGATACAACCCTAAGAAAAAGGCAAACCCTCCCTCATCAAGTGCCAAGCTCCCTCTCTTAAATAGGGGCACAGCAGGCTCCTCACCAAAACAGCAAGAACAACTTGTAACATGTGGGGAAAAATGGATTTTTTTTCCTAATCTCGTTCTTAGAAATGGTTGAACAATTTTTCCTGAAATAAGAAAAGACACTGCAGCCAGAGACAGACGCCCAGTATGGAAAATGGCTAAAACCTAGCAATCTTGCACAACTTGGAGCCACTAGAAAGTTCACACAACCTTCTCTTTGTGTGAAACTATCCCGCTTCAGCTAAGAAATATGTATGCCATAGTACAGTTGCTTCTCATCAGTCAGTGCTAAAACTCTTGGTTTCTTACTTCCAAATCTACCATGCACAGCCTAGAAAACCCATGATGACCAGTGACAGTCACACTACTGGCCTTGATAGAGATCATGCAAATCCAGGTTTGTCTAAAACCGCTATTTTTCTGGATAGTTCAATCATACAGTTCCTCCTACTTTCTATACCACTGTTCTTCTAGCATAGGGCTACCTCCCTGGTAACAAAATATTTCAAAATACTTTCATTCTCCTTAATATAGCATGTAAATATTGTACTGATCACAGTGGAGCCAGTAGGTCATGATCACAATGCTGCCGTGTGCTTTCCGATTAAAAAAAAAAAAAAGAAAAAAGCCTTACACAATATATCCAGTTTAAATTATTCTCATTGTTTCCTGACAAGATAATGAATAGCATGAACTGAGTGCTCTTCTACTTACAGTAAAATGTTAATTTGATCAAAGACCAGTAGTGTGAATAGCAAAATGTGATACTTACAAGCAAAAAAGTATAACCTTTCCCTTAAAGTTCCACCAGCCAAACTATATTTCCTTATTACACGCTAAATTCAGTGCTATACATGGCAAAATCTTCCTATGGGCTAGGAGTCTATATTATCACAAGTAATTCTGCTGAAGTTAATGAGCCTGGTTATGGAAGTAATCGCCATGCCTGGTTTTAAGCGCTTGAAGCTGACACTCTTACTTGCAAGCTGCTGCAAAAGCTATGTTTCTTGGAGTATGAGAACAATTAAAGCACACTGGTTCAATGTGCTTTAATTTTCTAACTTTTGAGATGTAAGAATTTATTTTCAAACCTTTAAATGACCCTTGCTTTCACAGAACAACAAGGTTATCAGAAAATCTGTGACATGAAAGACTCTGCAGGGCTCTGGCACCTATGTTTTCCAGCAATGGAGAATTACATGAAAAAAACCAAAAAAACTCCAACAAGCAGAAGAGGTTGGGTTCTCTTCATTCTTGTCTTCAGGCTATTGCACTTTCTTTTGCGCTCTGAAAGGCTGCCAGATAAATGTATTCCCAACTGAAAGCTAAGCATTTACAGGAAACTCCTGTGTTTGTATGAAAATAATATTAACCATATTTTGCCTTTATACAGCACTTCTCCATGCAAGGATCTCAATGCACTTTATAAAGTAAATGTTATTATTCCCATTTTACAGATAGTGAAATCACAGGATTAAGTGAATGACCTCATCTGCTATAAAACAGCATAACTTTGCTGAATTCAGCAGAGCTATGGCACACCACGATAGCAGAGCATCTAGTTCATTGCAAAGGGAGTTAGAAATAAAAAGCAAATACTCTGGCAGCATTTGTGGGCAGTATCGGTGTTAGCCTTGGTGCAGAT